TAAACGAAGACCGACTTAGCGGCGGGAGGAGGGACAAGAGACACCAACAGCCCGTGCGCTCTGGATCAGGGCCTCACTGTTTTGTGAGCATCCGTACCTGCCCTGGGTCACCAGGCCATGGCAAGCACAGTCAGGTCACAGGCCCCTCGCTTCCGGACCCTGTGGTCCCATGGAGTCGGCCTGGGTAGATTCCACCCCGTCCCTGTTGGCCTTGGAGGGGAGTCACAGAAGGGTGGAGAGGCAGCCGGCCAGCTCTGGGCTTCCGCTGGTGCTGAGAGCCGGAGAGCCCTGGGCGGGCGGCTGGGTGCTGAGGCCACCCTTACCTTATCTCATTTGTACCACCGAGTGGAGGGAGCCAGAGGAAAGCCCGGGGAATGTGCGGGGGGCAGCAGCGAGGCCAGGCCCACTCTCAGCCTCTGGGCAAAGCAGCAGCTTCTCCTAAACGAGCAGAAAGGACAGGGACGGGCATCCAGGTTCTACGGGGCCTGCGACAGACTTCCAGACTGACAGTGGGACCCCTGCACGAGGAGGTCCCAGCCATCGGAATGTCTGAAGTCCCAGCGATACTGTCACGATGGCCACCCTTCGTCTCAGTACAGGACTAGCATTCAGCACGTGTGCTCGGGTCGGCAACTCGACTTCCTGGGAAGCAGCCCCGTCTGGACTGGCTCCCGAAGCACCTCAGCTCCTTGCTGCTCCCGGGACGAGTGACCCACTCAGAAGCCATGTGGCTGGTGCGTCGAGGCCGTGGTGCTGGGCACGAGGACCAGCCCCTGCTCCAGGCGCTTGGAGTCCCTCCGCAGCAGTTCAGACCTTCTAAAGCGACCCACAACTCGCAGTGCGACCCCAGCTCAGCGACCTGGGGCAAGACCTCACTCCCTGAGCCTCGGCAGGGCTGCTGGGGACAGGTGCAGGTCACGGTCGGGGCTGCCGGGTGCCCTGAGGGGCGCTGGAGGAACGGTGGGGCTGGGGTCAGGGCAGGGTGTCCCTGTGGTCTCTCCTCTTTCCGGGGCCAGTACTACCTGGGCCAGTGGGAGCAGCTGAAGACACACGGTCCAGCTCTCCACGATCAACAGGTCCCTGGGTTTGGGATCCCACGTGAGCTGTAGCCCTCACCTGACATGGCCAAGGGAAGGGGTGGGGGAAGGCGCCAGCCGTCCAGAGAAGCGTGAAGTCACAGGAAGATGAAATCCCCTGCCGGCCACAGCCAGCCAGGCCCCGGAGGCTGCGACTTGCCTAGGTCAGACCACAGAGCCTCAGGGCAGGGAGGTGGGGAGAGAGTGGGCAGGGAGACAGGCGCCCCCTGAGAGGAGGGCTCCTGTGGGGAGGACCGGGTCATCTTTGCCGTGCTTTATCCCTCTGGTTTCTATAAGCCCTGGGGTCACGTGAGTACCCCCATAAGCCCGCAAGCCTCCTTCCCATTCTAATGGAGAAAGTGAGGTTTAAGGGCCACATCTAGGTGAGCGTGCCTCTAGAAATGTATTTCATTAAAAGTAGCGTTACTGGGGCTGGGATTGTGGCTCAGCGGTAGGACGCTCGCCTAGCATCGGCGGGACCCGGGTTCGATTCTCAGTACCGCATAAAAATAAATAAATAAAGGCATTGTGTTGTGTCCATCTACAAAAAAGATTCTCTCTCTTTTTTTTAAAAAAAGTAGCATTACCAAAAAAAGTAGGGTTATCTTGATATTATATGCATTATGAATGTGCTCTATACAGAAACCAAGTTTTATGGTAGGTCTGAGATATCATGCATTCCTTAGTTATTAATTAACACAGGGTGTCAGTCAACTTTTTCACTGCTGTGACCAAAACACCTGATAAGAACAACTTAGAGGAGGAACATTTTATCTGGAGCCCACAGTCTCAGAGGTCTCAGTCCATCAAAGGCTGAGCCCCTGCTCTGGGCCCGAGGGAAGCGGCACAGCATGGCATGGCGGAAGGGTGTGGCAGAGGGAGGCTGCCAGCCTCCTGTTGGCCCAGGAAGCAGGGTGGGGGAAGGGGCCTCAGGGACAATGGACCCTTTCAAGACAGCTCCCAGTGACCCACCTCCTCCAGCCACATCACCACCAGCAAGTCCCCTCAAACCAGGACAGACTGGTCAGGTTACGGCTCTCACAGTCCAGTCATTTCCCCTCTGAACACTCCTGCATCAACAGCCTTTGGGGGAGACTCACAGCAAAACCACACTCAGTAGAGAGAGGCCTGCCACCACCTGCTCCCACCAACCCGCACCCGGACACACAGGACGACCGCAGAGCCTTTCCTCATCTGCTGCCTGATGCCGTGTGGTGAGAGTACATGAGAGGAACGACTGGGGTTTTAATACCACGCAGTCAGTGATTCTGTCTTCCCAGGTTCTGATTTCTCCTCTGTACAGAGTTCTGGGGTGTTGGAGAGAGGGTTACATAAGGAAATGCAGGGGACAGCAGCAGGCCCCTGGTGCCACTGGTTTCCTTCCGTAGAGAGTGACTTGCAAGTTTCACAAGGTGCAGAATGCAGGGTGAGACCAGCAGGGCCTTCCCTCTGTCCCCAAAGGTCAGTCTTTCCCACCTATTTTAGGTATAAAAGCTCAACCCTCTTGCAGTAAGAAATTTTCAGTAAATAAATTGCTTCACAGTGAGTAGGAAGCCAGAGAGCAGTTCATCATTTTGTCAGGTGCAATTATTTATGTGGATACTTCACAGTCATTTCTTCCTGTCCCACAGTCCACCACATTTACACAAGTGTGCACTTGCATGAGTGTGAATTTCCCGCGTGTCAAGCATTTGTCCAAGTGTGCACATGACAGTGAATATGCCAGCAAGACGGCCTTTGTGGGGAGGGCACAGGAGGACGGGGCGGGGGGGGGCGGTCAACCAGGGGAGCACAGAGGCTGATCCCCAGGTCCCCAGTTCTGAGCAGAGGAGGTGAAGGCCAGCTGGCGCAGGGAGGCAGAGTCTGGAGTCGGCCAGCCGGCAGTGCCAGCCTCACCAGCGCTTCAGACACACGTGTCCCAGGCCCCAGACTCTGTCCTGGAGGGAGGACCCGGGCCTGAGGGCACCGCCCACTGTGTCTGAGCTCAGAGGCGGAGCGGTGAGGAGCAGGAAGGAGAATGGCCAGAGGGAGGCCTTGGGAACCCACGCAGGGCTAGTACGCCTGGACCACGGCAAGGCTGTGCCTGCAGCTGCAGGACGGACGGAGGAGCGCCTCACCCTGCAGCAGGTTGACTTCACTTGGTCTACTTATAATTATGGATTAGTAAACGAGGAGGACACACAACTTCCGTCCCTAAATCACACATTCTCAAGAGGTCTTGCTTCACCTTAAATGCCACTTTCCACAGAAACCCTCTCCAACAGCCCCATCTAAATGAGACCCCTCAATCTTATGCTCTGCCAGGACGCTGTCCTCGCCCGTGACGGACCTGCCACTCTGGCACGTGTCTGTAACCATCCAGAGCGGACATCCTGGGCACCGCCAGCTCCACAAAGGCAGGTGACCAGTCCTTCCATTCCCCAAAGCTCACCGGGCCCAGCGCAGGGGGAACGAGAGGACAAACCCAGAGCACGGGAGCGCAGTCCTGCCTCTGCACACCTAAGCAGGACAGCCTGAGGGTCACTTCAAATTCAGAAATAATGCAGATGACAGCGCTGGCTTCCGGAACAGGACCAGCGGCACTGACCTCTGCTTTAAACTCTAGTGCTGGCTGAGGTGTCACAACTTTGCTACAGTTTAGCCTCCCCTCATTTCCCATACACAATACGTATGTAAAACAGGTTACTCAAAGTTTATAGTATAATTGTTTCACATTTTAATTCAAAGAATTTAGAATAATCTTCCTAAAATATTAAGCATCCCTGACAACTTAGGGATCATTTTTGAGAGGCCATGAGCTACCACTGATGGTGTGTTACTTGTGCCAGCCTCCAACCAGGGCTGAGCAACAGTAGCCTGCAGTTCCCAGCCGGCTCCAGGTGCTTGCTGAGGATTCACCACGCCTAGAGGTCAACCACTCTATTTTTATGTGAGTCCAAATTCCGAGGAACATGTTTTCTTCCTCTAGATCAGGGGTCGACAAATGGTGACCCGTGCCCAAGGGTTCCCCGGTTTCTGTGAGTGAAGCTGTGCTGGCATAGCACTGCGGCTTTCTGTGGGCCTCTTTCCTCCCGACCCCTTCTCGGCACCCCTGGAGTGGGCAGTGCAATGGCCACCTTGCGGCCCAAGAGTTCACAGTCTGGCCCTTTATAGAAAAGAGCTTCCTGGTCTCTGATTTGTAGACACCAGCAACCCTAAAACTGCCCAGCATGCTGGATGCACTGTTTCGTGCACAGATCTCCCATGATGTGTGGCAGGGACCTTCTCCCCAACACCCTTCCTCTCCTTCCCCCTTTAGCAGACAATCTTCTGCTGTTAGCTGGCCATGAGGCGTCCGGGTGGGGACTGCACTTCCCAGGGTTCTAGCAGGGGCATATGGGCACCTGCTGCAAGCTTTCCTGGTTCAGCCAGGGTTTAGGAAAAGTTGTTGTTATAGCTGCTTCACAACTAAATTAAAAATAAGACTCTTTCGGTATTTGGAAAATATGACACATACCTAAACAGGCACAGAGTGATTCATTGCAAAGCATTCAAATTATGACTGATTTTAAAAAAATGTGTTCAGCACACTCTGCTTACAGGGATTCTCAGGAAGCAGGAATCATAGTGGGTACCTGGGCTAACAGGACTTAAAAATCCCAGAGTACCTTTCTCTGTCTTCTCTGATTTCTGAAATCCCTGAGGCTGTGTCTGTAATACCCCACTGGCTTGGCTATTAGCCATCAGTGGGTCCGGGTCTTCACTGGACTTCAGAGGTCAGTGGACTTCATGCCCCATCTTCAGACCTGCAGTGGACCTCAGGGTCAAAGTGCTGGCTCCTAGATTCTGGTCTCCTCTGGCACAAGGCACCGCCCAGCACAAGTGACCCGTGGTGGATGTGGGAATCCCCTGGACTGAGAGTATTGCCCAGGGGTGACTGAGCAACCGCCCATGTGTGTGACCAGGCTTTCATAGTCACGGGTCACCTAGCATCCACTCCAGGAGGAAGCCATTTAGGAAAGGATGTGGTGGATCTGCAAATCTCAGTCGGCTCTGAGACCCCTGGACTGTGTGCGGACTCCTGAGAGAGAGAGCCGTGTGGAGTCCAGATGACAGAAAGGTCAGTGTCCTGGAAAGAGGAAACCCGGCTAGAGGTGGTGAAAGAGGAGGAGCAGAAGGTCCAGAGGGCCACCCTCGTGGCCTTTATAGGAGTACTGAGGGCAAGACAGAGTGGGCCTCGAGAAGGCTACAGAGCAGGAGGAAGAGAGAGCCCCAGCAGGCCGCTTCCTCTCGAGAGGCCTCTTCTCCAGAACCCAGGGCGGAGCCCCGGGCTGCAGGGTGACATTCTGTGGCCTCAGTGGCTGACGCTCCTGAGATCAGAGCTGGTGCTGGCCTGGGGGGTGGGTGCGGCTCAGCAAGAGGAGTGCATGTTGTCCTCCTGCAGATAAAATACCCCCACCCAAAATGTGGCTGCCATAGCCTGAGTCCGAGGGCAGCTCTGCCTCTCCTACTGTGAAGACCTCAGAGCAGACCCCAAGGCCAGGATCTCAGGCCTGAGATACAAGGTCGGAAGGAAAAAGAAGCCAAGCGAGGAGCCTCCCCTCCCTCAGCATCCCTGTCCTCCCCTCCTCCTCCCTCCGTCTCCCGCCCCTCCTCCCCTTCCTCTGTACCCACCGGCTTCGCCCGCCCTCTGTGCACAGTCACCCCTCGGGCCACCAGTGCTCGGGCCACTCTGTTCAAAACACAGGGGACAGCTGCCACCCTCAGCAAGGCCACCATGGAAGGATACAGACACACACACACACGCATGCACACACTCACACACAGACATCAATGCACACACATGCACACGAACACGAATGCACATGCACACACACTCACACTCACATGCACATGCACACTAGCAAACAAGAATACACATGCACACACTGTCACATACAAGCACATACATGCATGCATTCCATGCATGCACACACACAGATACACACACTCACACACATGCACACACGTGTGCACACACAACCACACACACAGAAAACACCTTTTCACAGACCAGAATGGGCCACAACTTAAGCAGGTGCCCTGTGGCCACAGCAAGCCACACCCACCCCTCTCCCAGCCCCTCGCATCTGGCACACACCTGGGGCTGTCTGTCTGGGCGTCAGAAATGCCCATGGGCCCCTTTCTCGGCCCAGTGAACTTAGGAGTGAGTCCTGGGGAGAGGAACAGGCAGCAGTGCTCTTTGCCTCCCTGGACAGGGGCGCCCAGGCCTACTTATTGGGTCGGGGTGGCCCCTCCCTCCTGTCCACTCTCTCCCTGGGGCTCCATCTGACTCATCTCCAAGAGCCCAGCCCTGCAGAGGCGCAGCTGAGGCTCTGCCCAGCGGGGCCGGGCAGGGCAGGGTGGCATGCTCCGTCTCCCTCTGGGCAGGTTCTGGATGGCCCCACGTGAGCGTCAGCATGGCCCCTTTGTCGCAGGCCGTCCACCACACCTGAGGGAGCTGACGCCCAGTCCCCAGAGTCCTCCATGAGCAGTCAGACAGGAGGCCCCACTTACCACCCCTACGCACAGACAGTCCCCAGGGGACATCAAACACCATCCCCTGTGAATGTCCAGATGGGGTGGTGACAGCCAATGATGGCAGCCTGCTCTGCCCTCATGCAGCCTGGATGTGGTTCAGGTGTCCAGGTTCACACGGGAGCTGTCCCCAGCCTGCAGTGCTGAGTGGTGGGACTTCTGGGAGGTGGGACCTGGTGGGTGCTTAGTTGTTGGGGTGCTGTCCTGGAGAGGGCTAGAGCAGCTCTCGAGTGAGAGTGAGTGAGTTGTCCTAAGAGCCAGAGCCTTGCCGGCTCTGTGGGTTGATGTGACCTCAGCCTACCACACATTCCTGCCAGCTGGCACGAGAGTCCAGACTGTCAGCCTTTGGAACTGTGAATTAAATAACCCCCTTCATTATGATGTCAATCTGCCTCAGGTATTGCATTACAGTATCAGAAAACAGCCTAATAAGATTTCTTAGGCATCTCCTCCTCTTACTCTTGCTTCTTGCTTCTTGGTGTTTTAGGAATAACTAGAAATACAATCTGATAATGTTGGCAGTTTTTAAAAGCTTCTGTGACTATCCCAGTGTAGATTGCACAAAGCCTATTTACTGTTTAATCTTTGCTGACATCCAATATGCTCTCTGCTTTCTTTGCACAGAGAGTCTGATAAAGAAAAGCAATCAACACAGCATTTAAAATAAAGTGTAAAAACTATGTTGATGGTAGAAGGCACATGCATAGAGAATGCGTGGAGCCTGGGAAGATGGGCACACAGCCTGGCCATTGAGGCTGGGGCACCTTCCCAGGAAATGTGGGTTGAGTGGTGTCCCCCAAGAGATATGTCCAAATTCTGTCCCAGAGCCTGGGGACGAGAGACTTACTTGGAAACAGGTCTATGAAGGTTCACCTGGTTATCTAGCTGAGGGTGAGGGCGGGCCTCTTACAAGACAAATAGAGGAGGATCTGGTCACAGACACATGGAGGAAGCCGGGAGGAAAGCCACGTGACCGGGTGGGGACTGGAGCCATGTGGCCCCAAGTCTAGCACATCGGGAATTCCCAGCAGCCCCAGGCCGGGCAGGGTCCCTGGGGAGCTGCGGGGAGCAGGACTCCCTTGGCACACGCGTGCTTGTCCTTCCTTTGCCCCGTGTCATCGCCGCTCTGCAGTCACACTGGTCTTACTCATAGGAATGCACGTGCCCTCTGCTGGCTTTGGTGGGCCCCGTCACGGAGACGCCTGCGTGGCGGCCCCACCCAGGGCAGGCGGGAGGAAGTCGTGGAGGCTGGAGGGGCAGACATGCCCCAGCGAGCAGGGCCGTTCCCGCCCTCCCTGGCTGGCTCTAGGCATTCGGCCCACGTTCCTTATCTGTAAACCGCGAGGGCAAGTTTCGCTTCCTGGAAGTGCTGTGGAGACCGCTGGTGAGCATCCTACAGTCCTGGGGTACACGCCACTGGACTGGGCCTTTCCCCGTGTCAGCCCACCCATGTGCATCTCCCTCCCCAGCAGAGCAGGGACGACTGTGCATGACCACGGGTCACATGTCCAGCATGACCCAGGGCTGGGCCTTGGCAGGCGGAGGGCGTTGCTCTCAGCAGGGTCAGCAATGCCGCGATGCAAGAGTGCTTCTTGGGCTCGGTGAGCCCTACGTCTGCTCCAGAGCGGCTCAGCCTCCTGGACGTCAGACGTGATGGCTCTTGGTGCCAGTGTGTAGCACAAGGAGCAGGCCCCTTACAGGCCAGTTCACATGCTCCTGGCCCCAGGAGATGGCATGATTAAAAGAACCTAACCCTTCCTAAAATAGGACTAAGGGTCCTAGGGCTGGAGCTCTGAGACCTGCAGATCATAACCAGGGAAATTAGAACTTCCCGGCAGGGGACCTGGCTCAGAGCCCATCTGCAGAGGCTTCACGTCTGCATGGGCACACAGCAGTTTACTGAGTGACTTCCCCAGACCTTTCCAGAACCTGGCAGATTCCAATCAGAGGGAAAAACTGCCATGTGAGGTCAACCCCACTCTGGCCCTGTAGAGGACGCAGCTCAGAGCCCACCTCCTAAGGGCTCCTGCATCTTCACAGGGGCACACCACCTTTTCTGGCTAGTCTTGAACTTCCTGAGATGCAGAGAAAGTTCAAGAATGCAGCAAGTGACGAGGATGTTTAAGGAACGGGGAGGGAGGCCCGCCCCAAGACAGCAAAGTGAGGAGAGAGGCACGCGGGGTCTGGGCGCAGGCCACTGAGGCGGCACACACACAGGTGTCCCTGTGCCGAGTGCCCACTGCTCCCAACAGGCTGTCTCCCCTCACAATCCCCACTTCTCAGAGCCGAAGCGCATGAGGGTTAGGGAGACCATGTGTCACAAGCCCACAGAGTGGCCACCACAAGGCCCGGCAGCAGCCCCTGGTCTAGCTGAGCTGTGTTCCTGCTGTCGTGCAGCCGGAACTGACCAGGGGACTTGGTGCTACAGAAAGAGGGTTCTCTGTGCATTAAGTCTTGGACTTTTAAGGAAAATAGGCCTGTGGAAATGTTCGAGGGGCAGTTCCTCCCCACTTCACCCTCTTCATGTCTGTTCTGATGACAAAAACGTGAGCCACTTTGAGGAAGCTTTTATATTTTACTTTCTTCGTATGAAAACTATCAGAGTAACAATAAGCAGCGGAGCCTTCTGGGAATGTGTCTTTAAGCTAGGTATTTTGCACAACTCTGTTAGTGAAAAAGTGGATTTAAGAGAGTAACTCAATAACCAAGCCCCAGGTGTGCAGCGTACATATGAGGCTGATAGCAAGCCTGCATTTTGAACTTGAACTTGGTGAGGGTTTTCTGCATGCCGCTTAATATCTAAATGTCGTCTTTGGGACTAGAAGATCCATAGACTTTCAAAAGCAATGATTTATTACCTCTATATTGAGGCTTTGTAATGTCATCACTCCACAAAAATCAAGATTTTCCAGGAATGCCTTTTGTAAGAAGTGAAGATTAGGGTTTGAAAACTGCAAACATCTTGGCAGAGTAAATTCACAATTTTGTGGCATGACTGGTAAATCATGTCTACACTGAAATTATTTTTTAAAAGCATCTTAATCACATCGACTCCAGAGTTACACTAGTCAACAAATAATTTCTCCTTTGATCCCTACAGAGAATCCAAACACAGAGGGTGACATCCAGATAATGCAAAGCCAACTTGAAAGGGCCAGAGTGCGACGGAATGGGAAGAAATGGATGGGGGCAGGAGCCTGGATCCTGCTGCAGGCCCCTCCCCAGGCCCACTGCTCTCTGAGCCTACCTGACTTTACTTCCAGGAATGGGGGCCTGGTTCAGGAGGCTCAGCCCCCAGCATCTGCTGTGATCACTGCAAGGACAGGTGTGGACTCCCTAGTTACACTTGTTAAGGAACGTGGTGTGTCTACGAATCCAAGTCCTGGGGCCAGCAATGGGCAGATGCTCAGTAAGAACGGTGCAGAGAATGAGGGACGCACAGGCAGAGCCCTAGAGCCACCCTGGTGCCCTGACCAGGTGTGCCCAGCACACAGCAGCCCCTGCACATGAGTTTGAGGCCATCAGACTGCTCATGGGCTTGTGGCATGGCCTTTGACTAGGGCTTTGCGAGGCCCACTGTGTGCTCCGCAGCCAGGCAAGCCGGGGACACTCCAGGGCAGGGGGAGGCCTGCCAGGGAGGGACCTGCCTCAGATGCTGTGCCTGGCACACCGCTGTTACCATGAGCCCCTCCGGAGGAGCAGGGCTGGGCACAGAGGGGAGCTGGGCAGGATGTCTGAGGAGCCTGGCTGGTCTGCAGACCACACGCCTCCTTCCCGGAGCACCAGGCTGAGCGCCCCAGGCCCCAGGGAGGCAGAGTGCTGGAGTGAGGAGGGAGTGGAGCCAGCACCCCCAGAGCACGGGGCACTGCCCGTGGCCATGGCACAGAGGTCCTGCTGGCAGCCGCCTGGCTCCCGGCATCTCCAGAGCAGACGCTGCCCCTCGGAAGGTGAGGGCGGCCTCGATCAGACAAGATGACTGCACCCAGCACACCATCACCATGACAAGTCTTGGTTAAATATGTTGAAACATCCGACAGCTCCGGGGGAGGCGTCTTCTATGAATCAGATCCTTTTTCCAAAGTCCTCATGCTGGGAATAGAACACTCTCCTGAAAGCTCTGTCCCAGTGCTGCTGAAATAGGAACCTCCGGAACAGGTCACTGCACACAGCATCTGGTGCTGCTGTGACCAGCGGTGCCAGGTGACCTCCAGCTGCACAGCTGCACAGGGGCATGGTGGGTTCCGGCTGTGGTTGGGGCTGCCATGTGGGGCGAGGTGCAGGTGTACCGGCTGGGAGGAGGGAAGGGTGGCTCTCCTGCCCTTCTTCCCCGCCCATCACCACCTTCTGCATCTCCGAGTCTCCCTGTCACACAGGTGGTCCCTGACCTCTGGTGGTTCTGGTATGATTCGTGGTTTTCTGCTGGTGTGCGAGTCACACAACCACTGTGTTCAATCGAAGCAGAGTCCCCTAGGTGACACGAGATGCCCCCTCCTTAGGTCGGGACAGGCTGTGGCAGAGGCCTCTACCGGCAGCAGGCTCCTGGAGGCCTCCTGAGTGTGTTCCAGGTGGGTAGATGGCTCTGCGGCTCGGGAGGTCACCTACAGCATTTGCACTTCTCATGTCCTGTGCTTCCCCTGGACTCATCAGAGGTGGCTCCATTCTGTGAAATGCACATAATTCACCATGAAACCGTCACAGCAGAGACTGAGAACTGTAGGCAAAGTGGCTGGGACGATCTCCCAAAAGGAAGACCGGGAAACACTCGGATTTGGAAGAACAGGACTGTTACCCTCAGAGCCACCACCCAATGGAGGACGGTGGGTCCTGAAATGTAGCTCAGTGGAAGGAGGTCGGGCACACAGCTCTCTGGGTGGAGCCCAGGGTAAAAGCTTCACATCCTTCTACGTGTGTGGTGGGCAGCAAGCGAAGGCTGAGCTTGGAACACAGGACTCGGTGAGATGGCCAGGTCACATTCGACCACGAGAAGAGCAGCTTTCGGCTTGGTTTGTTTTTGTTTGAAATAAACAACATTTTGTCCAGGTTTCAATCTCCCCTTGTATTAAAATTCACTTGAAGTTCCTACAGCTCGCTTTATCCCGGTACTGCCTCTCTCTAAATTCCTCACTCAGTAGCCCACGTCCCCCGTCACCTGGAGAGCCTCGAAACAGGACGTTTCCCGTGTGCTTTAATGTGCCGTATCTGTGCCTTCCGTGTCCCACCTCCCCTTCATGTAATGACTAGCTTTTAATATCTGCTTTAATCCCTCTCAGCACACATAAGTGTTGGCACAAGAACCCAGTGGCAGGAGGAAAGACTCGTCACCTGCTCACAGAGCCACAGAGCCTCTCACACAGCAGCAAGACCCAGGGGCATGTGCACTTCGTCTGCCTCCACAGTACCACGCCTCTCTGCACTTCAGGGAGGAAATGCAGCCGAGTCTTGAGATATTCCAAAGTTACTATGTTTTCAAACATCTGAAAGAAGTAGAATAAAACAACCCAAACACCCTGTCCCCGTGTCCCACCTTCCACACACACACACACATGCAAGAACCCTAACCCTAAAGTATGCAAGGATCTTTTTGTTTATTTTATTAGTAACCCACCTAAGTTACTTGATTTTTTAAGCAACAATTTACGCTGAGGAAATCATGTCTCAATTGTTTTGAGGGTTTCTGATCAGCAGAGAACAGATTCAGACACACGACTTCTGAAAACTCCAGGCTCTTGCTACGCGTCAGTTGGATAATGGTAATTAGCAGAATCCACCTACCTATTCCTGCAACTAATATTAGGCCAATGGGCTTCGGTAGGAATTTGGGTGAATAAAAACTTTTAACAGTTCCCCAGCATATCAGTGCACTATGGGACATTCTCACCCCTTCTAACAAAATGGGGACAAAGAGAACACTGGAGAAGAGGGCCAGCACTTCTCAACACCGCACAGGGAGAGAGCCTGGGAACAGGCTAAGGAGGCAGCTTCAGGAAGGACAGTGTCCATGGGATGCACCGGAGACCAGCAAGAGACGTGAGGGTGGCTAGAGAGGTGCCCTGGGAGATCCCAGGGAGCCACCGGGAGAGTGCAGGCTGCAGACCTGGAGCGCTCCCCGGGGGCACGGATCGCCACTCAGACACTGCTGGGCATGCCTTCTCTGCCAAAGCAAGCCCCCTCCAGAAGTCCTGCACACTCTGCGAATGTTTGCCCTGGGCAGTGTATCTGTGGACTTCTAAGCTATCAGCACTTTGAGGGTAGGAACTGCATCTGTTTTCTCTTGACTCACCCTGAGGTGCACAGTGTGGTACGCGGTATGGCAAAGACAGGCGGGGAATTGTCTGGAAGGGGCTGGAATGTGCTCTAGGTGTCTAATTTTGGCTTCCATAGCAGGTCTAGAGAACATGCTGACTTCCAGCTGCACGAGAAACTGAGTGAGGAGTACGAGAAGCTAAATATTCCTCGTCAGTTACAGCAGCACCCACGGGCAGGAAATAAAATGCTATTCTCCAAACGTGGAGAAAGGATCAAAAATAAGTGATACAGACAAAAATATACTGCCAACATAAAACTTTGCATCAATGAGTCACTCTTTCCACATATGTGCAGTTTACTGCTGAAGCATACAGGGTCTCTTGAGCACATAAAGCACGTGTCGGCGGGTGATTGTGTGAGCCTGCGCACAGACGGGCCCTCGCTACCCACTCCTACTTGGGTCAGAGGCTCTGAGTTGACCGGGGAGCCCACTAACATACATATTCCTGGGCCCAGTCCCCAGGACGTGGTGTGGTATGCCAGAGGCGGGGCTTTGGACTCCGATTTGATGAGAATTCTGAGAGATGGGTGCAGGTGCCTGCAGACCACCCAACAGAAGCACAAGCCAGCTGATCCCGTTGAGAGAACTGGACACCCCAGTGGGACGGACGGCCAGGCAGGCGCTTCACCTGGGGGCTGGGTATCCTGCTACCAAGCCAGTCCGCCCCCTGTTAGGCCCCTGAACTGGCCCAGGCATGCACGTTCTGTGCCTGTGTTGACCTCTTGTGTTTGGGGTTTTCTGATCAGATGCCAGGTGGAAACAGGCAGAGCTCATGGGAGGTGCTCCCTGGGTGTGGGCTGGCGTCTCCCTGGAAGACCCCATGCATCTGCATGCTGTTTGCTGGAGAAGCTGTCCTGGGACTCTGACCCTTCCCAGCTCTGGAGGAGACACCGTCAGCTGACACTCCAGAAGGTGGGGATGTGCCCAACAGTGTCACCGTGCTGCCCCTCGCTGAAGCCCTGTAGCACCCACACTGTGAGGACACACAGCACAGGACAACACTGAATTCCTGTGCTAATAATGTTAGGTTCAGCATTGGTCTGTGATAAAAATCAAGCCCAAACACTGCTTCCCTGCTATTCCCTCTGCCCGATTGTGCCTCGAGATTCTGTGGTGCAGGCAGAGGGATGGACATGTAGCTCAATGGAATGAATGGACAACCAAGGAGACCCTTGGAATGGTGCAGAAGGAATCCAGAGGGGCAAGGATCTCTCCATCAAGCAGTCCCCTAGCCACTGGACATTCACTGGCCGGGAGAGAAACACAAGACAAGCCAAACCTCAATCTAAACTTCATGTGTGAAACAAAAATTTGCCCCAAATGGATCACAGGCTTACGTGATCCTATGGGGGGGGGGGGGAACAGAAGAAATGTTCCGGGCCTGAAACTAGGTGAGGCATTCCGAGACTCCATGTCAATCACAGTCCACAAAAGAGAAATTAATAAAGAGAAACACATCAGAATGAAAATCCTCTTCTGTGCAGAAGGCCCGCTGCTGGAGAGGGTGGAGAGAAACTGAAGTGGTGGGACGAGACTGCAGCCACCGGGCTGGTGACGAGAAGACATGCAGACCCAAGCCAGGGCCAGCCGTCGAAAAGCCACGGTCCAATGAGAAAACAGGCAAAAGAGAGCAGCGGTCCTCACTGACGAGGACTAAGGCAGTGATGCAGGAGATGGCCCTGCACCCCAGCCCTGGGGACACGCGCCCCCCCAGAGCACCTGACACCCTGCAGTGCAGAGGGAACACCAAAGGGGGATGGCAGTAGAGATAGGGTCACTCAGGACCTCCGGTGGGACATACAGCCACTCAGGAAAGCGCCGGCAGTTTCTTAAGAAGTCACACCCGTGCTATCATGTGGAGCGGCAATGGCCCTCTTGGGCAACTATCTCCAAGAAGTGAAAACCACACTGTCACAAAAACTGTCACAAACGCTCATAGCGGCTCATGTGCAGGAACCAAAGCTGGAGACAGTGCCCTTCAAAGGGAGAAGGTCGAACAAATGTGGCCTTCCATCGGGGAGCACTGCGGGGCGGTGAGAAGGAACGGCCTGAGCTTCAGCCGCACTCAGCAGGTGGTGAGTGGCCAGGGCACCTCCGTGCGAGGGAGAAGCCAACCTCCAGAGGGCCTGTGTATTTCCAGCATTTTCCAGAGGATGACGCTTAGGGAGGAGAGTGGAGGGATCGGCGAGGCTGGGAGGGTACAGGGGGCTCTCTGCACAGGCACGTGGCCGACCTTGCTTGTGTTGGCTGTCAGACTCTGTGCTGACGGCCAAGAGACACAGAACCACACGCACGTCTCCAGCCGCGAGGCGATGTGCTCTGGGGAGGGCAGGAGGAGGACGGAGTCTCTGACCTCCTTCTTGCAGCCGCATGTGCATCTGCAGCTCCCTGGACACAGCTCTCACGTGGCTTCCACGATGCGCTCCCCTGCTGCAGACCAGGTGCCGCCCAGGGGGTAGGCGCACTCAGGAGGGAAGCTGCTAGGACTGGGGAAGGGCCCTGCCCAGCCTGTCCAGGCTGCTCCTCGGAGCATTTGTCCTGCTTCCCCTCCCACCCATGGTGCAGCTCTTCACTGCCTCTCCTCCAGTGCGTGGCACAGACAGAACGTAAACTTCTCGTCAGTACGACACTCGTGAAAAAGTATCAGATTGCTGTTTTATTTATTTTTTTAGAACCAGAAATTGAACCCGGTACCTCACCCATGCTACACAAGCACTCTGCCACCGAGCCCCATGTATGCTATTTTGGGGCAAGAGTCTTGCTTGGTTGCTCAGGCTGGCCTTGAACTTGGGACTCCTCCTGTCTGCCGAGTACCTGGGATTACAGGTGCGCACCACAGCACCTGGCTGGCTGCTTTGGGTTTTTTTGGTCTTTATTGGTGCATTATTGTCACACCTAGTACTGGGTCTCTGCTGATTTTGTGCCTGCACATATCAGGATTTGGTCAACCTCATTCCCCCTGGCAAGCTGTTCTGATTTTTACTTCTCTGAGTGCGGACGGGTTGAAGTTCGTTAGGTACTATATTAGTCCATTGGGCTTTCTTTCCTGAACCACAGAACCTGTTCAGCTACACATTTACTCTGGGGCAGCCTGTTGTACATTACTGACTTTCTGAAAGTTTTGTATATTCAGAC